GGGTGTTGTCTCAGAGGAGTATTTAGTGATGACCCTGGCTTTAATCAGAATCATCCCTCCCCTCCAACTCTGGCCTGTGGCCTTCAAGTCATACTTGTGTGCCCTTTTCTCTTTCCACTGGTCTTCCAAACATACCCAAAAAGAAATCTAGCTTTACATACTTACTTTCATGTTTTTTCTTTTTGTATAATTCTCTACTCTGCTTTAAAAAGTAAACATGATGTTTCTAATGCATAATTTACCCCCTGTTGGCTAATATGGTTGTGAACAATAAGAACAAAACTTATGAAAGTTGCTAAGAGAAGTGAAATAACTCAGTTTTGTAAAAGTTAATAGAAATGCACTTAATTCACATTTATACCTCCTCAGTTGCTCTTCCCATGTATTTAGCATCCTTTCTGGGGAAATTATGATCTAATCCAGAACAGTAGCTTCTTAGTTTCTCTAGAGAACCATGTCTTCATCTTGTGCTAAAGCAGTTACTCTCTTCCAAGGTCTCCCTTCCTTGCACTATGTAAGAAGATGTATATACCTATAAGTGAAAATAGTGAATAAAGACAATTTTAAATATAATTTTTTATAAAGCCTCCACTTTATACTGAACAAAGGTCATCATCTATGAATCTTTTAAAAACCACCAACAACAAAAAAATAAAAGCAACACTGTTTTTAATAATGTCTAGAATAGAAAAGGAATAACTGTCTCAGTCTGGTTATGGGATTTTTGACCTCTTTTTTTATTCTGTGCATCAAATATTTTTTTTCCTAAGTACCCCTAACAACAATGTAGTGGGAATATTTGATTATCACAATGTACTTCAGCTCTATACCCTTCTGTAGATTGAGTAGTATGGGCTGGCAGAGGCCTTTTTTCTGCAGTGACTCTGGGATCTCCAGGCAGGGAGCCCAGAGTCTAGTTGTCTGGGATTTGATCCTGGGTTCTTAGTGTCCAAGGATAACGAAGGTTTGAAGAGTTTGCTTTTGTATGAAGGGAAATGCCTATATCGACAAGTGGTGCTCACAGAGAAAAGCTGAAGTATTGGTTCAGAACTAGCAAAATAACTGCCAAGGATATTATAGAAAAGGTGCATTTAACATGTATACATAAAAATTATGTACCTTAAGGGAACAATGGATTTATCTCCAGTAAGACCGACCTATGTTTGCTGACAGACAGGTCTTTGAACATGGAGCAGTGTGTGTCATTTTACCAGACAGGATTAAAAATAAAAGATGTATTAGTTTCACTTTTCTTTACAAGAATGGATTTTTCTATGTGTCGTTAGTTATTTTATCATGAATAACATGTAATGTCATCTTGGTGCTTATTAATCACTCTTTTCTTCCAACCAACTGTAAGAATAATTAGATGAAATTGGTGGCAGACCATTGCTTCCACATTAATCTACTTAAGCTGGTGCCAGTGAAACATTCAAACATCAGCATCTACCACAAAAGTGCTCTTAGTGTGTGTTTCTAAAGTTTGAAATTTTTAGTCATCTGTAGTTGGAATGCAAACGCTTTGTCTTGTATTAAGCAAAGACATAGATGGTAAAACCAATATGAAACCAAGTGGCTCTCATCAGTGGGAGGTACAAATCTGCTAAGAGCAGTTTCAGAGCCAGATACAGGGTGGGTATTTTTGTAAGTTTTGGAAGCCATCTGTTCCAGTTCCTCTGCTTCATGTTCTCATTCTGATACCCAAGCTGTTGGAGCCTCTGCCATCTAGAAAGTCACTGGTCACAGAGACAGAGGGAAAGATAGGACAATGAAGCCATCACTGGCCCTTAATGCTTCTGCCCAAATGAGTTTAATTGGTCAAAGCAAGTCTCATTTTCAACTCTAGTTACAAGTGGGCAGGGAAATGCCATTCTTTGGTATACCTAGGAGAGAGAACTAGGAAATTTGTTAGTCATTCTTAATGATTCATTCAAAGCAAAGAATTTAGATTGATCATTAAAATGGAAAGCTGGTTGACTTTGAAAAGGCTAATAGCACAGACAAAGCTTTGGTGAGTCTGATCAAAAAGAGAGAGGACACAGTGTAAAAGGCAGTACAAATAGGGTTCAGAGAAGGTTTGTGACCCCAATCTCCAGAGAGGAGAGAGAAGCTGAAGGTTAAGTTAATCACTGATGTAATCAGTTATGCCTATGTAATGGAGCTTCCATAAAAACCGAAGGACAGGGTTTGGAGAGCTTCCAGATAACTAAATCCCTGCAGGTTCCTGGAGGGTGGTACACCAGGGACGCATGGAAGCGCCACACCCCTTCCCCCAACCTTGTCTTAGCTATCTCTTCAACTTTATCCTTATAATATCCTTTATAATAAATTGGTAGACATGTTTTTCTGAGTTTTCAGATGCCTAGCAAATTAATTGAGCCAGAACTTTGAGAGACCCAGATTTGCAACTGTTGTCCGAAGGAGGGACAGATTTGTGGGATTGAGCTCCCACCCTATGGAGTCTGATGCTATCTCCAGGTTGATACTGTTGGAAATGGAATTGGAGGACATCCAGCTGATGTTGGCTACAGAATTGATTGCTTGCTTGGTGTGTGGTGAAAACCCTCACACATTTGGTCAGATAAGTGTTCTGTGTTGATTACTGTTGATTGAGAGGATACAAAAAGCACTTAGAGTTTGTGTGTGAGTTTTCCACACATCTGGTAAAAATGCACTGAATCCAGTAGCTTTTATGACAGAGTTCTACCAAATCTCCCAGAAACAAATATTAAATGTCTGATATATTTGTGGAATAAAATGAATGGACAAGGCTAGCATGAAATTGATACTAAAATCAGACAAAGATGTCACTCACAGGTCAATATCACTTATAAACATATATTCAGCAATCCTAAACAACTTAGCTGACAAAACCTAGAAGTATATTAAAAGGACAAATGTGTCTCCATTCCTTCAGATCTTTGCTCTGATGTCACCTATTGAAGGAACTGTGCATTGCTTGCTCTATTTAAACATTGCAGCCCTCCCTTGTAGTGCTCTAAGCCACCTCATCCTGTTCTATGTTTTATAACATAGCACGAATCAACTTCTAAAATATATTGTAAATATTTATTGTTTATTGTTTTCTCCCCTTGCTAAAATGTAAACACCAAAAGAGAAGGATTTTATTTTATTTTTTTCTGTTTTGTTCTATGATGTAAACCAAATACCTAGAATAGTTGGCACTTAGTATTTGTTGCAAAAATGAATAATTCTAAATTCAACATGGAATCCTGAATTGAAACCTGGAACAGGAAAGGATATTAGTGGAAAACTGGTGAAATTTGAATAAAGTCTGTAGTGGAGTTATTAGTGTTGTATGAGTGTTAATTTTTTAGTTTTGATTAATGTAACATGACTATGTAGGATGGTAACATTAGAGAAAGCTGGGTGAAATGTACATGGAAACTCTATATCTTGGCAACTCTTTTGCAAAGCTAAAATTATTTCAAAAGAAACATGAATTATATTTAATATTTTTCTGTGGAAAAATATTAAAATGAATTGATCCAAGGAATTCTAAAAGGCCTCAACATTTAAGAAATAAAATAAAATTTCTGTTCAAATGGCACCTTCTCTATGAGTCTTATCCTGACTACCCAATTTAAATTTATGGACAGCTCTGCTGCCCTCCAAATCCTACTTCCCTGCTCTGATCTTTTTTTTGCCACAGTACTTGTTAACTTCTAACACATTGTACAGTTAACCATTTACAATATTATGCTTCTGCTTGTTGTCTATTAATATTTCTTTGAGGACAGAGAGCTTTATTTTTGTTCATCAGTATACCTCAAGTGCCTAGAACAGTGCCTGGCATGAAATATTCCTTAATTATTTGTTGAATGAATAATAAATATGAACAATTTATGTTTAAAAAAACCCACAGCAAGTCATATGTTTGTGTGTGTGTGTGTTGTGTATGTGTGTTTGAGAGAAAGAGACAGAAAAGGAGAGAGAGGGAGAAAGAGAAGGGAGGGAAGAAGAGAAAATGAATAGGAAAAGATCTGGAAAAACCTGCTTATTGAAATACTTGTTGCTTTTCAGGATGGAACTAGTTATTAGCAGAGTGTTCATGGAAACGGGTCTAGGACTAGAGTGGGGCAAGCTAGACTCTTGGAAGTCCTCACTCTCAGTGGGTACTTGATGAACCAAGGAGGGAGTACCTCTATGAACTTGAGAGTAAATACCTCCTTACAGTTTGCATACTGTGTGTCTCTCTTGTTTCATCCTAGTTCCAAAACTTAAAGACTGTCTTTATTTTGAATTATAGGAAATTTTATAATTTCAGGTGTAATCTGTGTTAATTGTTTAATTTTTAAAAAAAATTCAGAGTTGAAAAAGGGAACAAAATAAATGAAAATTATTTTTAAGATCCTTTAATAATTACAAATAATTATCTTGTCTTTAAAATGAGAAATTAAAACTGAAGAATTACTAATTTTTCTGCATTCTCTTTAGGACCCAAGTTACTCCCTATTATCTGATGTTAAGTGTTGAGGAAAGCAAAATTTACTCTTTCAGGTCCTAAATGTAGTTTATTGCACTGAAGCAACAGTGCAGTCAGTAGATCCTAAAGCGGGAAGATATCAGTACCAGGATAATCTTGAAACTACAGAAATATTTCTTTGTTTAAGTATTTTTCTTTGTGATCTGAAGCTCACTTTTGAAGCATGGTCTTCTGAGTTCTACATACTTGATTTATGGTCATTACTTTGTTGCCCACCTAAAAGCACAGATTGCCATATATGTTACCCCTCAGCTCTTGGGTTTAGGGTTACATGCCACAGTGTTGGTGTCTGAATGATTTACTCTCCCACCCAGCTCAGTTAACTCACTGATGGGGCATGCCTTAGCACAGAAGGATTTGCTTCATTGGAGTACAAAAAGGTAATCATTTAACCTTGTGCAAAGAATGAAGGACTGGAGATCATTTGGTCATTTGTCTTTATGATCTAATTGTGTTTCTGTATGGTTAAAATGGAAATTATGATCTATTGCAGGAACATCAGGAAAGCATGCTGGGTAACACTATGCAGAGTGTGATTGCATTACTCAACAATCTTGTTACCTGCAAAGATTCAAATATGAAGCTACTTTATGAACAAGGTAAATGCTTCTTAGAATTAGTCTCTGATTCTGTTGAGTTTTGCCTATTTGTAAGTTTCCTCAACTTATATAGCAGAGTCTAGATGTATTCGAGTTGACAAGTCAAAATAGATATTTAAGAATCTATAAATAATAATAATATTACCAGCAAAAATTGGAAGTGGGGTTGGATAGGAATAGTTTCCCTAAATTAATTTGTTCTCTTTCATGGCACACTATTGACTTAAAGACTTATATACCTGCTTAAAGAGGATAAACCAAGAAATAGAAGTATAATCATAGTATTTAAACTGATTGCTACCTGTATTAGTCTGTTTTGTGTTGCTATCACGGAATACCTGAGACTGGGTAATTTATAACAAAAATAAGTTTATTTCCCAGAGACAGGGAAGTCCAGCATTGAGGGGCTATATCTGGTGGGGGTCTTCCCACTTGTTGGCACTCTGTAAAGTTTTGAGGCAATGCAGGGCATCACATGGTGAGAGGGCTGAATGTGCTGGCTCATGTCTCTCTTCCTCTTATAAAGCCACTGACATCCTACCCTGATGGCCTCATTTAATCCTCATTACCTCCCAAAGATCCTACCTCTCAAATACCATAGTTGAATTTTCCACCCTCTTAATGTAATTACAGTGAGGATCACTTTTCAGCATTAGTTTTGGAAACCATAAACATTGAAATTATAACACTACCAGTCAAAATAAAAACAAATATGGCCAACAGCACCTTGGAAAATGAGGTTGGATGGGTTGACAGTGGTTTGCTAGGCATCTTATGCATAACTTTACTGTTACAGTTTTTAAGATTATGTGCAGTCACACGGCATTTAGTGACACGGATATACAATATTCTGATAAATACGTCCTCAGGTATTTTCATCCTTGTGTGAACACCGTAGAGTGTACTTACACAAACCTAGATGGTGTAGCCTATTCTACACCTAGACTCTATGGTATAGCCTATTGCTCCTAGGCTACAAACCTGTTCAGCATGTTACTTTACTGAATACTGTAGACAGTTGCAACACAATGTTATTTGTGAATCTAGACATATCTGAACATAAAAAAATGCACAGTAAACACATGGTATAAAAGTTAAAAATAGTACACCTGTATAGAGCACTTGCCATGAATGGAACTTGCAGGAATGGAAGTTGCTCTTGATATGTCAATAGGTGATGAGTGAATGTGATGCTCTAGGACATTACTGTACATTACTGTAGACTTTATAAACACTGTATGCTTAGGCTTTGCCAAATTTATAAAAAGTATTTAATAAAAATAAAAATAATAGATTAACATTGGGCCGGGTGTGGTGGCTTAAGCCTGTAATCCCAGCACTTTGGGAGGCCGAGGTGAGGGAATTGCCTGAGTCCTTGGGTTTGAGAATAGCCTCGGCAACTTGGTGAAAGCTCATTTCTACAATCCATCAAATAATTAGCTGGGCATAGTAGCGCTTACCTGTAGTTCCACCTACTTGGAAGGCTGAGGCAGAAGGATCGCCTGAGCCCAGCAGGTCGATGCTGGGGTTCCTGTGAGCGTGCCACTGCACTCTAGTCTGACTGATGGAGTGAGACTCCAACTCAAAAAAAAAAAAAAAAAGGATTAACTTTGACTTACTTTACTTTTTTATTTTATAAACTTTTACATTTTTAATTTTTTTCTAATAGTTTAGAACAGAAACACATTATACAGCTTTATATATTTATTCTATATGCTTTTTTCTATTAAATATTTTTACTTTTAAAGCTTTTTAAGTTAAAAACAAAGACACAAACAAACACATTAGCCTAGGTCTTTACAAGGTCAGAATCATCAAGATGTCACTAGGCTATAGGAATTATTTAACTCCGTCATTATCTTATGGAACCACCATCATATATCCTGTCTGTCGTTGACCAAAAAGTCATTATGCATTATGTAACTATATGCAGTGTGTAACTGTATACTACTTTTATGTTGATAAAATAAAAGCTTTCATTTGGAATTGCCCACAAAGATAAGACATGGACATTAGAATCTGTCACTGAATAAAATTATTCAAGTCATTTTTCCCATCAAGAATTTAGAGTTCTATTTCAGTGTGGTCATTATACTTAAATGTTAGCAATATATTTTTTCTCCACTAAGGAAAAAATATGTGCTTACTCCCAGTGATAAATATTGCCAGCATTTGTGAGGCTTGATACACAGAGATATTTAATCTTTTACACAGCAGCATCCTATTCTGTGTTATGGATAAAGCATAATTTATTTAGCCAGGGTTCTAAATGATCAGTATGTGCTGTCTCTAGTATTTTGCTATTGTGGACAATTCTGCAGTGAATAACCTTATATGTACATACTTTCACATGACAGCAGGACTATCTGTGGGATAGATTTTGGGGATTCAAATTGTTCAATCAAAGGGCATATATATTTGTAGTTGTAGCTATTGCAGAGTTGCTCTAAGTGATGTGCCAATTTATATTTCCACCAAACCACACAAGATTGCTTGTCTTTGGATCTAAGAGCATGTTATGCTTCCCCATTGGTTCAATACTTTTTTGTGTGTTCTTCAGAGATGTTTTGCAATTTCCTTTATTTAGGCCCTGTGTATTTCTTGTTAAGTTTATCTCGTCCTAGCTGTTTTATCTTTTTTGCTAATTATTAGAAATGAGGAATTTTCTGCTGTTATATCTTCCAATTTGTTTTTTAAAATATGTTTGAAAGTTTTTGATTTCTATATATTAGTTTTGTACCCAAGTTAAAATTTTAATTGTTTTCAATATTAGTAGCTTTTAGGTAATTCTCCTAGTTTTCCATTTATATAATCATAATAATTATTAACAAAGATAGTTTTCTTTCCAGTTTTTATAATGCTACTTTTTCCAACTCTTGTCTAGTTACAAGATTCAAATAATGAGATAGAGTGTACCTTGGATTTTTCTCTTTTTTTCTGGTCAAGGTGGTACTCGTCTATTTTAATTTTATCTTTTTTTTTTTTTTTTTTGTAAATAACTTTTGTCAAATGCCTTTTTGACTTCTATGGAGATGATCAAATGATTTTTCTTAAATGTATTCATGTAATGGATTATACTTAAGAAGTTACCTAATACTGAATCCATTCTAGTGTTTGAGTCAGTAACCATACTTAATTATGATATATTGCTCTTTAGTTGTTCTACTTTAGTTCTTTGCTAGCACTTTATTCAGGATTTTTCATTGCCATTCATTAGTGTGATTGGTCTGTAATTTTGTTTGTTGGTTTTCAATGGGAGAAGTACATTCTTTGCCAGATTTTGGTATTAATGCCATCTTGCTGCATTTTTTAAAAAACAGATTCCCCCCTGCCCCCCTTCTGTACTTCTAAAACAATTCAAGTACCATTGGAATTATGTAGTCCTTAAAAGTTTGGTAGAATTTTCTTGTGAAGTCATCTAACTGATGGTATCTTTGCAAGGTATGGCAGCAGTGGAAGTTCTTTGATACCTCTCTCTATTTCTATAGTGATAATTAAACTTTTTGTATTTTGAGTCAGTTGTAGTAGACTATATTTGCCTAGAAAATTTTAATTTCATACTTAAAATCTTTTTTCAAAGAGTTGGGCAAAACAGGTTCTCATAAATCTTTTATTTTCTTAGGTTTTGGAAGTTATCTCCCTGTTACCATTTCTTATATTATAGATTTATACTTTTGCATTTTTATTGAGTAGTTAAGATAGTGGTTTTTATAGTGTGTGTGTGTGTGTGTGTGTGTGTGTGTGTGTGTGTGTGTGTGTGTCTTTTTTTCAAACAAGATTTGGTGTTTACTTACTAGTTCTACTTTTTAAAAAAGTTAGTTTCTAATTTTACTATTAATTCTTTGTGCCTTTCATGAATTTGGTTTTTCATTCTTTTTCTAAGCTTTTGAGTAAGATGCTAAACTCTGATACTATGAATTTTTTTTTTTTTTTGAGTTGGAGTCTCACTCTGTTGCCCAGACTGGAGTGCAGTGGCTGCTCCCGGCCACTGCAGCCTCGCCTGCTGGGCTCCAGCGATCCTTCCACCTCAGCCTTCCGAGTAGCCGGAATTACAGGCATGCGTTACCACGCCCGGCTGATTTTTTGATTTATTGTAGAGATGAGGTCTCGCTGCCCAGGAGTATTACCTTGTTTGTACCTTTCTCAGAGATTCTGATATGTAGTGCTTTGATCATTTTTCTTTCCACATATATTTCAATTTTGGTTTATGCTCCCTTATTGAGGCAAGAGTTGTTTAGGAGTGAAAGTATATTTTTAAAGGTGAATAGGGCTTTTTGCTTTATTAATTTTATTTTTTAGTTTTTAAAATTTATTTTTTATTGGTACATAATATTCACACAAATTTGTGGAGTGCAGTTGTTAGTTTGATACATCATAGAATGTGTAATGATCAAATCAGAGTATTTAGGATAGCCATCACCTTGAACATTTGTCATTTATTTTAAATCTTTTGTTTCAAATCTTCTGTTTTACCTACTTTGAAATGTACAATATATTGTTGTTAACTATATTCACCTACAACACTGTCAAACACTAGAATTTATTCCTTCTATCTAACTGTATGCTTGTACCATTAGTTAATTTTATTCCTCTTTTCATTCCTCCCTGACCCTTTCCAACCCTTGGTAACTATTATTATTATTTTCTCTACCTCATAAGATCAACATTTTTACTCCCACTTATGAGTGAGAATATGGGATTTCTGTCTTTCTATGCCTAGTTTATTTTACTTGACATAGTGACCTCTATTTCTTTCTTTTTTTTTTTAATTTTAAAATTGTGGAGTACAATTCAGGGTTAGGTATACAAATATTCATTGTGTAGTTACCCTTGTTGATGAGGTGTGTCCCCCAATTCCCCAGGCAGGTATTGACTACTGTCAATCCTACCTCCCCAGTCCCCCCCAACCCCCAGCAGTTTCCCGCTACTGTCAATCCTTTTCCTATAGTATTATGGTAGTTGTTCAAGGTCCACTTATGAGTGAGAACATGTGATACTCA